CCAGTGGCAACACCATGTCAGTAATGCAGAGGTTCGGCATCGTGTGTTCGGGCACAGAGATGATAATTCAATTGGTGTCACCATCTTGAAACACCGACTTCGGTGGCTTGGACATGTTCTCCGAATGTCGTCCCAGAGAATTCCACGTCGTGCATTATTTGCCGACTCTGGGACTGGTTGGAAGAAGCGGAGAGGTGGTCAGTGCATGACATGGTGTCGTGGCATGAAAGAAAGCTGCAAAGGACTGGCTTGTGTTGGTCCTTCACGACTCCCTGGTTGGGGTCCGAGAGATGGTACAACACAGTGGCTAAAGACGTTACCAGATATGGCTGAGAATAGAAGCCAGTGGCGATCCTGCTGTAACCTTCTTTTACTTTCTTCATAAAACGTGGTTGTATCTTCCTTAACTGAAAGATTTCTTCTGATTGTACACTTCTGTTCCCCAACTATCACTATTATTATTACACTACCTTACACCAATCTCTTCGTTATTGTTTTTTTATGTATATATTTTTTTACGTTACCCACTTTTTTTCTTTTTCTTCTTAAATTCTCATAGTTTTGTGTGGCGCATATATATTTGGCGCATTCCTGTACCAATATATATGTGTTCAAATAAATAAATATGCTTAGATTCAGATCATGCTCTAGTGTGAGCGCTTGTTTGTCTGCGTCTTACTAGACGTAGGAAAGACGCTGCAAGAAAACCTCTTAGGGCCCTACTTAATGATAGTCAAGCTAAGAATATATATATATATATATTTATATGCTCGAAAACTCATTCCATCTGGCTCTAAACGTAACGAAGAGCGGAGTCAGCTTAAGCGCAAGCTGACAAGAAGCCTACGCAATGATCGTGAACAATGGTGGGTAGCGAAAGCGAGAGGGATGGAAAAGGCAGCGGCAATAGGTAATAGCAGACAATTGTTCAAACTTGTTAAGGAAACCGACTGTTAGCGAAGCACTCTCAGAGAAAGATGGACATATTATACATTCTCAATCCAGGAGATTGGATCGATGGGCAGAACACTTTAGGGATCAGTTCAACTGGCCTACAGCCACGCTTCGGTTTTCCACGATCTCCAGTCAACCTGAATGGCAAGTTAATTTAGGTCCTCCGTCTCTTTACGAAGTTGAAAATCTGAAGCGAGGGAGAGCAGCAGGCCCTGACAGGTTTACTCCTGAGATTTTTAAGAATGGTGGTCCAGTATTAGCAGTGAGATTAACTGAAGTCTTAGGTAGAATTTGGGAACTGGACGTAATCCCATCTGACTGGTCTCAATCACTGGTTGTGCCAGTCTATAAGAAAGGGCAAAAGTCTTGTGACAATCACAGAGAAATCAGTTTGACTAATATAGTGTCTAAAATATTAACCACAATAATACTTCGACGCCTAACCAAAGCTCGTGAAGAGCAGACTAGAGAAAACCAGGCTGGTTTTCGAACTGAGCATGGCTGTACAGACCAGATATTCACACTACGTTAGGTCCTAGAACACAGACATACGTTCAGACGCCCCACAATGGTAGTATTTCTCGACCTTAAGGCGGCATTTGACTCTGTGTTTGTCACTGAAAGGAGTACCAAAGAAGTACATTAACCTTATAAAGGCTCTCTACTCGAACACAACTGGTAGAGTGAGAGCTTATGCCGAACTGTCATCAGAATCGATTACCTCAAGTAGTGTTTCTCAAGGCTGTCCACTCTCTTCGTTCTTATTTAACTTTGTCATTGACGTACTTATAGAGATAACACTTTCCTCATCTACATTGCCAGGGGTTGAACTTCTACCAGGAGATTCACTTGTTGACTTAGAATATGCAGGGTCTTCTTACCACCGTAAACAACAATGCAAGCATGTTCGGGATGCGATTCTCCCCCTCGAAATGCAAAATGTTGCTTCAGGATTGGGTTGCATCGACACCCGAACTAGTGATAGAGAGTGAAGTAGTTGAGCGTGTCGACCGCTTCACTTATCTTGGGAGTCTCATCAGCCCTTGTGGTCTGGCATGTGACGAAATCTCAGCACGGATTCAGAAGGCTCGACTAGCTTTTGCCAACTTGCGTCATTTATGGAGTAGGGGAGATATCTATCGACCTACCAAAGGAGGACGTGTTTACTGCGCAGCAGTTCGTTCCGTCCTACTTTATGGCAATGAAACATGGCCGGTAAGAGTAGAGGATATTCGTAGGTTACTAGTATTTGATCATAGGTGTCTCCGATGCATTGCTCGTATATCCTGGGACCATCGAGTAAGTAACGCAGCTGTTAGGAAACGGGTACTAGGTAAGGATGGCAAATCAATTGATGGAGTAGTGAAACTTTATCAGTTGAGATGTCTGGGACACGTGTTACGTGTACCCAAACACTGACTTCTCCGACGAGCGATGTTTTATGGTGTAAGAGTAGGTTGGAAGAAAGCAGACGTTTAGGCCAAGACATGGCACAAGTCCATGAAGTCACTGACAAGTGGACTGAGCCATGTTGGTAGGTGTAGACTACCTGTTTGGGATCCGCGAGATGATAGCAACCAATGGTTAGAGACTCTGAATGACATGACTCAAAATCGTTTGCAATGGAGCAGGTGTATCCACTCTTTTTGTTCTCCCAAATTCTAATCTTCTGAATTCTTCATGTCACTTTTTTTCTCTTTCCAAATTTATTTCACTGTAATATACTCCTTGGATAACATCTTCAGTCCCTAGTGTCTCCGATTACTGCTTATACTTTTACTACTTCTACCACTACGGAATTTGAGTCGACAACTGTATCTCTTTGCTAATGTGGTGTGGCAACTCGAACTGATGTACGTACGTACGAAGCTCTACGTTGACTGAACGTTAAGCATTTTCTGAGACAGCAGTGACATCCGGGTTTTCTATATCCACCACTGTCTTGAGCTCCGCTATTTTATGTTGTAGGCTTCGAGTATTTGTGTAGCACACCTTTAATTGCATGGCCCTCAAATGACGTGATAAGGCCGAGAGTGGGGAGAGTCAACTCTCCTCGAAATGCTCTTAAGTGACCGCATGCATACAACCACTGCCAGGGAAGTCCTACTCACTGCCTTCTCGTGAGTGGGTTGTCGTTTACAAAATCAAGAGGACGAAAAGCGAATGTCCGTCGCTTTAAACCGTGTCAGCGGATACGGAGGATGAACCTAGGGAAGTTGGAAGACTCTGATTCCAAGCCAGTGGTGTACATGGGCTCCGAGTTTGTGAGGGAACAAATGGCGTATGAACCTATCGTTGGTCACCGGCTACCATAGGACTACATCTCCCGACGTTGCTCCACTGCGTTGTAGGTCAGACCTTTAGGTCGAAGGCTACGGGTGTGGCCTCCTAAGAAAACCACCTGCTTTGTTCTGGGTATCCGGGTAGTATCAGAGCCCGCACACAAATCAAGTGACTTGTGTGACACATATGTATTCAGTGCCCCTTTGTACATGTTATGACTTGAAGCCTGTGCCCTGCTAATGGATAACGTCACGATACTGCCAATTAGAGAGCAGAGAATTATCGATCGGACCAATGATGCATAAAACGCGTGCGAGCAGTCTAGAGTCCTGATTGGTCCTGCTTTCCGCCCAGCCCAGCCAGTTGTGTCCAGAACACCAATCTCAGTCTGTGCAATATGAATCATTTATTTCAAACATACGGGGTTTATATTGCCAATCAAACAGACCACATCGTACCATAAAATAGGAAACAACATCTGGCCAAATGTGGCTGTGAATGTGGGAGGTAGTGATTAATAGACAAGGAATAATTTAAGAATGGTAAATCGTATAATAATAGTTCGTACGTCAAAATAAGGCTCATAATAAGAGGGATATGAATATGAATAGTGTAGCTACTTAACAATTATACGATAATAATATACGTTAAGTATTGGTCCATAAATGGACGAAATCTCAGCACGGATTCGAAAAGCTCGCTTGGCTTTTGCCAACTTGCGTTACCTATGGCGAAGGCGGGATATCCGTCTGTCAATAAAAGGACGAGTATACTGCGCGGCAGTCCGTTCTGTTTTAATTTACGGCAGCGAAACATGGTGATTAAGAGTAGAAGACACTCGTAAGCTACTAGTATTTGACCATAGATGCCTTAGAAATATTGCTGGCATCTGCTGGGATCACCGGGTGAGTAATAGTGAGGTTAGACGCAGGGTATTAGGAAATGATGGTAAATCAGTTGATGAGGTTGTGAATCTTCATCGACTGAGATGGTTCGGCCACGTGTTACGTATGCCTGAACACCGATTACCACGACGTGCAAGGCTAACCGGTGTTGGAGATGGTTTGAAGAAAGTTAGGGGCGGCCAAACCAAAACGTGGCATCAGTGCTTGAAGACACTGACTTCTAGTCTGAGCCATGTTGGTAGATGCAGACTACTTGGTTGGGATCCGCGTGACTATCGTAACCAATGGTTGGAGACTCTTGGTGACATGTCTCAGAATCGATCACAATGGCGTAGTTGTATACACTCCCTGTCTTCCCTTAAACTAAGAGATTAAAATCACTGTATATCTTTCTTTCTACTAACTAATTCTTTCTTCCTATACTATATCCTTATTGCAATCTTTCTTTTATATATTACCACCTCTGAGTTAACTACTTTTATGAATTCGGTATTCATCTTGTTGTGCTGAAGCGATATGGAAACTTGGACCGATGCATATATGTGCCTGGTCCTACGTTGTAGCTGACTGACTGGATCCCAAAAGTTACCACTCATTATGCTTATCAGAACATAACAGTACCAGTATTTATGTGTTAAAATACATAATAAATAAATAAATGTGTAAGTGTATCCGCTTCTGTATCTCGACTCTATCTAGTCAAATATTATCTTTTGTTTCAGCCTGTAGAGGGCAATGATAAAATTGATTTATTTTGGGTGATTCAAATTCTTTTTCCTTTTCTTAAATAGTCATAAAATTATACCGAAAATTTTAATTGTGCATAAGACTCGCTACATTTTTTAATTTTTATTTCAGTTTTTCTTCTGCAATGTCAAGTGACTTCAGAAGTGCGATGATTCAGGTAATTGCTCAGCTCTGTGGTCAAGTTGGCTTCGAACAAATCACGGAAGCCTCACTTGAATTGTTAATTAGCGTTGTGGAAGCATATTTCCTCTCCTTAGTTAGAAATGTATATACGTTGACGGCCTCAGGTATCCATATTTTCCGTTGATATTTTCCCAGACGGTTATGCACAGGTTGCAGATGGACTTCTAGCTTTGCGTTTGATGGGTCAAACGCCTCAAGGCTTTGCCAAGTTTGTCATAGAGAACAGTCAGTTTTTTACTCGAGCGCCTACTATGACATGTGGGCCGGTTTACGGAAAATCGTGTTTAAATATCCCACCTGAAGATCACCCTGAATTAGAAGAGCGGCCACCCTTCATCCCTCGCCATTTGCCGCTAAATTATCGCGAGGACTTTGGTAAGTATGAAAAATACTTCCAGAATATTTCATAGGAAGTCAAACATCTCAGGCAGAACCAAGCATCAAAGAATTTGCTTTCAATGCTTGTTTATCTCCTTCCTCACCTAATACGGTATCTACTAGTTCCAATTGTCTTACTGGTGCAACCAGTACTGCTGTAACAACCGTTGCTCGTACACTTCCTGAATGGGCCAACAGATCTACATATCGTATGACGTGTGTTTCAGTTGATCCTCTAACTAAGTGCTTGGTGGAGCATTGTCCTCCATGGAAAGCCTCTGATGTTTTGTCGGAGTCACCGATTCCGGACAATTATGTGGGTTCGACAAATAATTACTTTTCATCTATCTCAAAAAGAGAACTTGCATACGACTCAACACCAGAGGATACAAAAAATCCATATGTGTCTTCACCCTCACCTACAAAACAATGTGGCGCTAGTGATGCACAGTGGGCAGCTGCTCTACAAGTAGGTTATTGCTCATTCATTGACGACCTTCCAATTATTTTGAAATGTTGACTTCCAATATATAATTTATTTCTATGAATTTTGTCACATTATTTTAATTGAGTTGTTGACTCGTCATTTATGACAAGGTAGTATACCAATTTGTTCTATACGTTGATTACTCATTTATTTTTTATTTCGCTGAGATGCAATTTTCCATAGTTTATTTTCGAACTGCTTGACATGAACTTTGTCCAAAAAATAGGAATACTCTTACAGGTTCGTTGATAGGAGTTTTGAATTTTAACATACATTGGTTTCTAGCAATTTTTAATTTATGCAGCGTAGAAAGGTAATAAGGAACATAATGGGTATCTATATGTACGGAATCGAAAGTTTTCTATTCATTATGTGACATACGCACCCTATGTCAAATCGGTCAACAGGCTTCCTTCGCTAGAACCCTAGAATCTCGTACCATTGATGTATGCTGTGTCTCTGAGACACGCATACAGGATCCCAGTGTGGTCATTCACTTGACCTCATCTCTGCAAAACGGAGAGCCGACGAGATACACCCTCCGTGTATCTGGTGACCCGACGGCCAGCTCTCGTGGACTGGCAGGAGTAGGGATAGCACTAAGCATGAGGGCGGAACAAGCACTGTCAGAGTGGTTCCCCGTTAACAGTCGTTTATGTGCTGTTCGGCTAAACGGCTCCGTAAGAACTCGGAAGGATAGGGACACATGTCGTTGCCTTTTTGTCGTTTCTGCCTACGCTCCCATCGACTGCAGCTCAGATGAAGTGAAAGATGAGTTTTACAGAAAGTTAAACGTTCAGACATAGTACTCGTAGCAGGCGACTTTAATGCCCAGATAGGTAGTTTAGACCAAACAAAAAGGCATTTAGGTGGGTATTTTAGTATTCCGGCTCAGCGAACAGATAATGGTGATCGTCTGCTGCAACTGTGCTCAGACAATCGTTTATTTTTAGTAAACACAAATTTTAAGCATAAGGAAAGACATCGTCTAACATGGCGACCCCCTACACCAAACCAACGATGGACTCAAATAGACCGTATTTCCATCAGTCATCGTTAGAGAGGGTCGGTAGAAGATTGTCACTCATTCTGGAGTACCTGCTTGGACTCCGACCACGCCCTAATACGGGCACGCATCCACTTGCGCCCCACTGGACGCAAAAACGCCTCAGTAAAAAGACCCATTAGAACTGAATTGAGTAGCGAGAAAACCAAAAGTAGGTTCCAGGAACAACTGAGGTCACACGTAGGTAGTTCTGAAAACGAGGCTGACCCAGATGTTGTTTGGAAAGCTATACTAACAGCTGTGGGAACAGCAGTGACATCTATGAATGATTTAAACCACAGGGTTACAAAGAACCAATGGATTTCCTCAAGGTCTATTGCACTGATGGATTCTTGTAAACTCATCCCATCAGGCTGTGAACACGATGAAGAGCGACAACAAATCAGATCTAGGTTAGGCAAAAGTCTAAGGAACGACCGTGAGCAGTGGTGGGCAACGAAAGCAAAGGAGATGGAAAAGGCGGTGGCTATAGGGAACACAAGACAGCTCTACAGACTAATAAAAGAAACTGGAACTAATAAGTCAAGTGTAAGTGAGACTTTCGGAAAAAGACGACACCCTCATCTGCTCTCAGTCCAGACGTTTAGAACGATGGGTGGAACATTTCAGAGAACAGTTCAGCTGGCCTTCAGTTACTCTACAACTACCCTCCATTCCCAGACAGTGTGAATGGGACATTGAAGTAGGTCCCCCAACTCTAGCAGAAGTTGAAAAGGCTATAGTTAATCTGAAACGAGGAAGGACAGCTGGTCCAGATGGATTGGCTCCAGAAGTCTTTAAGGATGGTGGTCCAATTTTAGCGATTAGGTTGAATAATATTTTAGCTCACATCTGGGAGTTAGATGTTGTCCCATCTGACTGGTAACAATCACTTATCGTCCCAATATATAAGAGAGGGTTAAAATCATCCTGTGACAACCACAGAGGGATTAGTTTAACTAATATAGTATCTAAAATACTAGCCTCGATAATTATCAGACGCTTAACTAAGACTCGTGAACTGCAAACACGAGAGAATCAAGCTGGCTTCAGACCTGGTTGTGGCTGCATCGACCACATATTCACCATTCGTCAGATTCTAGAACATAGGCATACTTACCGGCGTCCGACGATGGTGGTCTTTCTTGATTTGAAAGCAGCATTTGACTCGGTAGACCGCGAGATTCTGTGGCAGTGTATGTCATTGAAAGGCGTACCTCAGAAGTACATAAGCCTTGTGAAGGTTCTTTACTCGAACACTACCAATCGAGTCAGAGCTTATGGCGAACTGTCATCGGCTTTTGCAACCTCAAGTGGTGTCCGACAAGGCTGTCCACTTTCTCCATTTCTGTTTAACTTTATCATAGACCTATTGATGGAAATAATATTCTCGTCGACTGAATTCTCGGGTATTGATCACCTTCCAGGAGGTCCACTTATCGACTTGGAATACGCAGATGACATAGTCCTGTTTGGTGAAGACGCTGATAAAATGCAGAGTCTTTTGGTAGCACTGAGCAACAATGCCAGAATGTTTGGAATGTACTTCTCCCCTCTAAATGTAAGTTGTTGCTTCAGGACTGTCCTGCGTCAACACCTGAACTAAGGATAGGGTGTGAAGTAGTCGAACGCGTTGACAACTTCACTTATCTTGGAAGTCTGATCAGCCCTAATGGGTTGGTGTCTGACGAAATCTCAGCACGGATTCGAAAAGCTCGCTTGGCTTTTGCCAACTTGCGTTACCTATGGCGAAGGCGGAATATCCGTCTGTCAATAAAAGGACGAGTATACTGCGCGGCAGTCCGTTCTGTTTTAATTTACGGCAGCGAAACATGGCGATTAAGAGTAGAAGACACTCGTAAGCTACTAGTATTTGACCATAGATGCCTTAGAAATATTGCTGGCATCTACTGGGATCACCGGGTGAGTAATAGTGAGGTTAGACGCAGGGTATTAGGAAATGATGGTAAATCAGTTGCCCTGGTACGGCCGAGAGTGGAGAAAGTCTTCTCTCCTCGAAATGCTCTCACATGGCCACGCGTATATAGCCTCTGCCGGGGAAGTCCTACTCACTGCCTTCTCGTGGCGGGGGTGTTGTTCACGAAAATGAGAGGACGAAAAGCGAATATCTGGCGCTTTAACCGGACTACAAACCAATGGTGCACATGGGCTCCAGTATCCGGCGGGAACAAATGGTGTATGAACAAACTGTTGGTCACCGGCTACCATGGGACTGCATCTCCTTATGATGCTCCACTGCCTTGTGGATCAGACGTTCAGGTCAAAGGCTCGGTGTGTGGCCTACTAAGAAAACCACCTGTTTCGGTTTGGGCACCCGTGCAGTATCACAGCCCTCACACATGTCAAATGAGATTTGTGTGGCGCATATGTATTTGGTGCCTCGTTGTACCAATATCTATGTGTTAAAATAAATAAAGGTTGTGAATCTTCATCGACACAGATGGTTGCGCCACGTGTTACGTATGCCTGAACACCGATTACCACGACGTGCAAGGCTAACCGGTGTTGGAGATGGTTGGAAGAAAGTTAGGGGCGGCCAAACCAAAACGTGGCATCAGTGCTTGAAGACACTGACTTCTAGTCTGAGCCATGTTGGTAGATGCAGACTACTTGGTTGGGATCCGCGTGACTATCGTAACCAATGGTTGGAGACTCTTGGTGACATGTCTCAGAATCGATCACAATGGCGTAGTTGTATACACTCCCTGTCTTCCCTTAAACTAAGAGATTAAAATCACTGTATATCTTTCTTTCTACTAACTAATTCTTTCTTCCTATACTATATCCTTATTGCAATCTTTCTTTTATATATTACCACCTCTGAGTTAACTACTTTTATGAATTCGGTATTCATCTTGTTGTGCTGAAGCGATATGGAAACTTGGACCGATGCATATATGTGCCTGGTCCTACCTTGTAGCTGAGTGACTGACATTATGTGACAACTAAAACTTATATTGGTGTATACATGCTCACTATTAACATATTAACCGTATACATTTGAATTCATATTTGTTGTTGAAATTATTAATCTTTAGGCATCACATTCATAATACATGGGAGCATGTCGACGTGACGCAACTAAAATTACTCACACTTTGGAATTAGTTCATTTTCACCAAATACTATTCCACTTTTATGAGTTATTAATTTTTTAGGATTTTAATTGAATAAATTAACCCTATTGAACGACTAGTTAATATGTCATATTCGGTTGTGACGTTAAGCTTTGTAATATATACAGTGTAATTCAATTACGAAGTACATGTTTATGTGATTGTTTTAGAGATATACTTATTGTATAGGGCTAGTGATATTGTTAATCAACTTACCAAACCAAAATAGGTGGAGCAAGGTTTGAATCAACTATCTAACAGTTGAGAGTCGAGTGCATTAGCGCTCGAAATTTTATGTCATTTAATAGTATCACGTACACAGCTTAAGAAATAATGGCGGTTAAATAATCTTTTTGTAATAAAATTAGTCGAAATTTTCTGCATATTTTCTTCACGTCATGAATATCATAGTGCTGAGGCGAGTGACTACGTCTCATGTTTATTTATTTTTCCATGATATCTATGAAAGAAGAATACATTAGGTTTACATTTTAGAGTTCATTAACTTTGTTTCAAGAATTTGCATGAATTCGAATAAAATTGATGAAGAAGAGGTAAGTTGGCGATTCAAAACAAATAAGCTGCTAAGATCTAGATTTTATCTACGATAACTTACTGAATATTTGTCTTTTCAACGAACGGTTTGCATCATATCATAATGATTTTCTATGTTTAAACACTTAATCTTATTCCAGTTCATTTTATTCGACCACCAGAAGCTATTCTAAATTCCAAATTTTCCTCTGAATGATTTGTTATACTCAGCATTATTTCGGCTATGATATCTTTATTTTGATCTTTAGGGAGAAAGTAAGTTGTTATTAACAATTCATTGATAAACACTGATGAAGGCGTATTAGAGAATATTCGTTAGCTTTGTAATACACACAAAAGTCGTTGTAACAATTCATGAATAACGAATTTCATCACATGGCTTGCACATTACATTTTAACTTGATTATCTAACTTGACATTTTATATTCGAAGTTTTAGTTGACTGGATATTCATAAATTGTTCAACAGTCAGTTGCTAGTGATAATTGTACATGAGTTTTTGTTCGTTAAGGGGGTATTCAACCTCTGTAGAAAGTATTAGGAAGTGTCGAACGACAGTCACACGTATTTGAAAGAATTTCACACTAATTTAATTCATGGTGGCAATCAAGCAATGAGGTCTTATTTGTTCGTCACGTAGCATTCATTCAGCTTAAAAATATATCGTCACTTAAAAAAATCTGTCAGGAACATTCATCGGATTCTTATAAAACCAATAGAAAAAGTAAACCTTTATCAACCTAAATAACCGTTGTTACACTATTATTTCATTTTTCTACTTGTTTATAGGCTACTCCGTCGACGCAGCAACCGAAACGAATCGTCTATACTCCAAGTCGTTTTGATCCTAGTTCCACACCATCTTGGACACATATTAGACGAGCAGCAAATTCATCACGTACACCGTTGTTTGTTAAACAGCCTATTGGGGCAGATTCACGGTATAAACGACAAGCTTCCTCACTTGCGTGAGTCCAGTTGTTAAAAACTCATAATAACCTTTTTTTCAACTCACAATTCAATCAGGTGAACTGAATAATAAAATGATAAATGTTCATTTATATTATAAAGTATAGAGTACTTTGTGCAGTCCTTCATACACTTTTCGTGTAGATAATTCTTTCCACTTTTTTTTTAAAAAAAACTCAACCTAACTTAAGTAGTTAGTAAGATAAAGTCTTACAAAACCCCAATGTTCTAAGCTGTCTACTATGATTGTTGTATTAAATCTCTAGATGTATGCATATAATCATACTTCAGAACTAACTTTTAAAAATTTTCTACCCACTAGATGAATCACATTTTATCCCTGTTTTTTAAAGTCTAGTTTTTGAATTTTACTAACGTAATTTCGGAGTTTAAATTATTACTACTTACGGGATGAAACATTCGGTTTGCATTCATCCTAATAATACTTAGTTTCCAAGCAATAGTCTACTACTTTTTACAAGTTATCTTGATTTTAATCTAATTTTCTCTAACTTTTCTAACAATGTTTTACTGTATTTTATCCACTAATGTAAGATGAGATTAGGCTTGTTACCATTTCCATTAGTGTTATCGTTACTGAAATCAAGTGATGTTACTGTTGTTTGAAGTCATTGTCTTTTATTTCCAATAAGTTGCATATTCTGTATTTTTTTTCCAAAACAACAAACTGACTCACTGGTGTTCAACGTGGATGTATTTTTCTTTACTCCTTCCTAGTTATTCTTCAGCTCCAAAAATTCCAAGACTGACTACTGGACGTCGAGCAAACAGGTGTTCTAAGTTTGGTCGAGGTCGAGCAAGTAAATTATCAAGACAACGTGTTTCGAAATCAAGTAGATCAAATTCTCCTATCATAGAGCAACATTCAGATAATACTAATTCAATGGAAAAACCACTGAATCTGACAAGTGGACATTCCAGTTTCAAAGAAGATATTATCAACACAGAACTTTCTCCGCTAGATTCTGATATTTCTACATTATCGAATACAATCAGTAAGTATTCATTTAACTAAATTGATTGTAAGATTTTAAGTGGTGGTTTGAGTTTCTGGATGCACATGTTTTTCAGAGCAGAATTTATTCCAATGTGTTTTTCATATGATGAGGCCAACAACAGAACTTAGAAAAACAATGCAGCTCTTCGAATCGTCACGTAGAAACAAAAGTTATTCAGCAATAAATACGATATGTTCATAAAACGCGAGTACAGAGACTAAGTGTACGTGAAAGATTTTGTTCTGGATAAAAAATGGAGTGATGTGCACCAATATTTTGGATGCTGAACCATACCAGGTTAGCCTTTCTCTCAACAGCCTCATTCACCTTGACAACCATATATATAAAGTATCCGTTTCGTCCTATGATCCGATTATAAGTTCTTAACACTTCGGTGATTTACACCAACTGAAAGTTCATCAGTGACATAACCAATATTTTGATGTGATTTTTAATTTACTTGTTTAGGTTGTAAGCGTATTTTATTGCAGCTGGTATATACTTGGAATTTGTTTATGTGCATTATTTGAACTAAACAAGAATTGAAGTGATTCAGAACTGAGTTACAATCTTCACTTATAGTCTCTCCTAGAGTTTATAAAAAATGTTCAGAAAATTTCCCGAACACTATATGGGTTCTCAGTAAGTAAAAGATAAGATGAAAGTAATTCTGATCATAGATGGGCATGATGAAGATAATCTTTGCTCTTTCACCAGTCCTCAACTAATTCAGAAGTGTCAAGCAACACTCGTATAGAATTATCATTTCCATAAATAAATATTTTATATGAATATATATCTACTGTCCGTCGATACATTTAGATTCTCCTTGACATCACGGTAAAAAAGAATAATGAACTACGATGACTGAGATGGTAAATTTAAAAACGTTAGACATTACGAGGAAGATTTATCGGGGGAATCCTTGTATTTAAACTTGTACGTAATAGATTACCACATACTCACCATGTGAAATAATATATCCATTGATACTCACCATACACCTTATAATTGAGATTTATTTTAACAAGTAACCATTGTTTTTTATGGTTTAATGTTATGCTTTATGGAAATTGCATAGAATATCTCAGACATTCTTTGTACGGCAACCAGTAATGTTGAAAATCATTCAGAACATCTACAAGCTTAGTAGCCGTTCGATAAACCTTCCAGTATCACCTCAAATACTATTGGGGTTGTGTACAATTGTTTGATCTTGCCATTGCTGGTTTTTTTTTTAGATTCGCCTAAATCTTTGGAAGAAACATCCGTAACCTTACCAGAGAAAGCCGCTGATGATAGTTCCATGGCACCTAAAGTAGATCCAGGAGATGAAAAACAAACTGTATGGAATGGAAAAGATTATCCTGATCATGATTCACCATGCACTCCTCCATTACGGAATCCTGTAAATAGTGATTGCCTGATAACATCTGCTGTCTTATCATCTAGCTTAGTTACTTCACCGAAACAACTGGAGAATCGCATGAAATCTGTTGGTGTTGAACTATCTGAATTAAAGGTTTTGAACATTCCGGAAAGAAGTACTTCATCCGGAACTCAAAATAGTGTACGACTTAAATCACACCCATTTCGGCGGAGAGCTCGTGGACGAAGAAGAGATAAGTGTCGAGTTTCGACATTTAATAGTTTATTTCAAAATCCTTTGCGGAAGTGTTCAGATCCAGTAAGTTGTACACCAGTTTATTAAATGAATCTAATCCGAAAGTCACTATTTAGTCTTTTTAGTCGATTTTCAAATGTTTAAGTAATGCAAAAAATTATAGTAGTATATGAACACAATATTTATGGGATCGGTTATCGGTATAAATCTAAGCAGCTTGTCTGGAACACCTTAAGTGTGTATTGATTTACGTAAGTGATCACTAGCATTCAAATCATAAAACTGATTCTTGTTTATTAACTACTTAACTTCTCATAAACATAGTGTGAAACTAAGGAGAAACTAAAAATAATAATGCTATTGATAATTGTAGACGAATACATAGTTCACAGTTCTGTGGCTTCTGCATCAACTACATATTCACTATTCGTCAGGTTTTAGAACACAGGCATGCTTATCGGTGTCCGATAATGATATTTTTTCTTGATTTGAAAGCAGTATTTGACTCTGTAAACCGAAAGGTTCTGTGGCACTATATGTCATTGAAAGGTTTACTTCACAAATACTTAGACCTTATAAAGGCTCTTTACTCGAACACTACCAGTCGAACCAGAGCTTTTGGCGAACTATCATCTACTTGTGCAACCTCAAGTTGTGTCCGACAAGGCTGTCCACTTTCTCCATTTCTGTTTAACTTTATCATAGACCTATTGATGGAAATAATATTCTCGTCGACTGAATTCTCGGGTATTGATCACCTTCCAGGAGGTCCACTTATCGACTTGGAATACGCAGATGACATAGTCCTGTTTGGTGAAGACGCTGATAAAATGCAGAGTCTTTTGGTAGCACTGAGCAACAATGCCAGAATGTTTGGAATGTACTTCTCCCCTCTAAATGTAAGTTGTTGCTTCAGGACTGTCCTGCGTCAACACCTGAACTAAGGATAGGGTGTGAAGTAGTCGAACGCGTTGACAACTTCACTTATCTTGGAAGTCTGATCAGCCCTAATGGGTTGGTGTCTGACGAAATCTCAGCACGGATTCGAAAAGCTCGCTTGGCTTTTGCCAACTTGCGTTACCTATGGCGAAGGCGGAATATCCGTCTGTCAATAAAAGGACGAGTATACTGCGCGGCAGTCCGTTCTGTTTTAATTTACGGCAGCGAAACATGGTGATTAAGAGTAGAAGACACTCGTAAGCTACTAGTATTTGACCATAGATGCCTTAGAAATATTGCTGGCATCTGCTGGGATCACCGGGTGAGTAATAGTGAGGTTAGACACAGGGTATTAGGAAATGATGGTAAATCAGTTGATGAGGTTGTGAATCTTCATCGACTGAGATGGTTCGGCCACGTGTTACGTATGCCTGAACACCGATTACCACGACGTGCAAGGCTAACCGGTGTTGGAGATGGTTTGAAGAAAGTTAGGGGCGGCCAAACCAAAACGTGGCATCAGTGCCTGAAGACACTGACTTCTAGTCTGAGCCATGTTGGTAGATGCAGACTACTTGGTTGGGATCCGCATGACTATCGTAACCAACTATGAGACTAAAATTGCTTTATATCTTTCTTTCTACTAACTAATTCTTTCTCCCTGTATCATATCCTTATATGCAATATTTTTTATATATTACTACCATTGAAGTAACTGCTTCTGTGAATTTGGTGTTCATCTTGTTGTGCTGATGGAGTATGGCATCTTGAACCGATTCATTTATGTGCCTGGTCTTACGTTGTAGATGGCTGAATAACTGTTTATATTTGACCGATGGACTTATTTCTTAGCTAAACTATTTTCGTCTCTTGCTCTTTTTCAGCTTCACATTAAGTCACAGAATAGTTCTTTCCAGACTGTTCAAAGTCTCGAACGTATACCTAAGGTTGAAAATAACGTAAATGATCACCAAACTGTTGCAGTCGTTCCAGACAACTCTTTCCAAAGTTCTCGACCCACTCGATCAGTACATAAAACCGGAAGGCGTACAGGGCTAAATGCAGACGCTTTTCACGATTCTATAAAAAATGAACCTATCACCACACAGTTTTCTTCTGATGTAAGAATGGAAACTATCTGCTCCCCAGCATCAGATACAACTGAACCGATGACATTTGGTGAAAGAGCAGAACTTCTTAGAATTCTTTGTATAGATAATAATTCTGTGAAGGACACTTCAACTACCACCTTTAATGTAGTTCCCAATAATCACTTTTTGAAGTCAGAGAATCCGGTATTTAGCAAAGAAAGCTTTGGTAAACTGCAACAGCATGCATCAATTACATTAAGATCGCTACCTTCTTCTCCATCATCCCTTGATTCCTCCCTCTCCTCTTCTTCTACTTCAAAATCTTCACCTGAAGAATCACTGCTTTTAAAATCAGAAATGAATGATGTAAAAGGCTGTGATAATTTCGGAGATGACATTTCTCAAGGTGTAAATAAGTCCTTATTTTCAAGCTCCTGTATTCAGAAAACTGTCAATACAAATCTATCACCTGTGAATTTTTCAGATTCTAAAAAAACCTCTCCAGCCACTTCTTGCAATAATAAAATACATACTACTCATACTGCCTCTCCACCAGTGGATACGTTAGGAGTTGGACCACCACCTCTTCTTCCTTTATCTAGTAAATCGGTTGATCAAAAACGATGTTCTTCCTCTTTGTTTTCAACATCTGCTGAAAGTGATCACATTGCCTCACTTCCTCCTACCTTGATGCCTGTAAGTTTATTTTATTATTATGTGTTATCAGTAATCAGTAAATTCTGCTATTCATATATTTATATGATATTTTTTAAGAGTTCATTCGTGGAATCAATCAAATTACAAGTTTTCAAGATTGATCGTAATTCTTACTTGAAAGACAAGATGTATTCGAAAAACTGAATAAATATCATGACATATTTACTTTATTCTTTAATTAATTTGCTCTAATTAAGTTATCTTGAATCCAAAGCACACTATTGATCAGTACTATTCTAATCTCTGTTGTAATGGTGATGATTAATAATAACACAACAGATTTTAGCATCTTAAAGGGTTATTGGTTTTTGACATCGTGGTTGGATTATCAAGTTAGCGAGCTCTAAGCTACAACTAGTTTAATTTACGTATTAGTTTGACTATCATAGATTTATGTTGATTTTAAAACTTGGGATGATTTATCACTTTTTTTGCTCATTATAAATTAACTACTTCGTACAATGACAGTTAGTTTCTAGACATTTATAAACTAGTTTACATACTAGTTTGGGCCGGAAACTGTAAAGTTCTGATATAAATACTATTTTCCTTTTAGTCCAAACAGTCGGAATTGGTGTCGACTTCCAGCAGTTGCTTCTTTACAAATTCACAGCCTTTGTCATCTAAGCAAATCAGCGATAAAAATGGAGGATTGCGTATTACAATTAAACTAGGTGGCGGGACATTAAACGAAGAACATCTTGCTTCATCTCTTTCCCCTTCATCATCTTCTTCCTTATCTTCATCAGAGTCAACTTCAGGGGATGAAGACAACTCAACAACTCATTACATACAGTCACAAAATTCAACCCAGATATTCAAAAGGGAACCGAATGAAAATAGTGTTTTGAACTTAGTGGATAAGGACAGGTGACTGATTTTATTATTTTCGGTACAATGTTTCTACGACTGATATTAATATTTAAAGGAATCTTTATAAGAAAAATTGCATGTTACGATTGGCATGAGATGAAAGCTTACCTGCTGTTGATAAAACTCCGTTTCAAAATGCCGTATCCTATCTTTATGCGATATGTGAAGTACATGTTTTTAGTAAACTTCTAACGATTATCTTTCTTAAGTTAACTTATGGTTATTTCTGTAGTGTAAAATTACCCGAGTATCGTGCATACTATTATTAACTGCGATCAAAAATTCTTTCTGTTGTCATACTTACAACCGTATAAGGACCTAACGTTAAATCGTCAGAGATTCGTTAAGTTGTGCCGCTACATCACATTAGTCAGTGCAGGTTAAGTGAAAAAAATACTTCAGTGCTTACATATATTTTCATAAACAAAACAACCATGATAACAGAGTTCTAGCTAGTGAGATACTTCGTAGTCTTCTTATTAGTATTTAATGTTAGTAGCTAAAAAATTCAACCATCAGCTTGGTAACACGAGACTAATAGTAATGTCTCACACTTAAATTATTATTAAAGGTTTCAAGGGGGGAAGAGATTCAGTGGGCTGGACAGTGTTGTTGTTGTTAATAAGAATTAGGAAGTAACCAATATGGCTACTGCTCTGCAAGGAAGATTTATATAGTGTTGAAGATATGGAAACTACCGATATTTCCCATTTGTTCATATGGGGGTATTCAGTAAATACTTAGATCGTATAGCATATACTGTGGCATAGATCCTAAAGAATTTACTTTTGTGTCTGGTCTCACTTTTCAGATCAGTTCACCTGAAAGTTTTGTCTGTTTATTCTAGAATAATATCGCTGGAAACTTATAACTATGAGACTGAATAAAATTCAGTTTATGGATAGTTTAGTTAGGAATTCTGGTCATCTAAATCAAACACAATAATGTTGTTTCTTCATTCAATAATGGTTTTAGATTATTTTTCTGACTTTCCAATATACAGCAGTTCTTAAATTTTGAAGCTCCATCTAAAATGAAGTAATTGTATAATAAAATCAATGAGTTACCCAGTTAGTTAGTCTCGATTAAATCAGCTTAGTAAGAAGACTTCACAGCGACATTTTTCAGAAGTCTATACCGTAATAATAATAAATTCGTAAAAAGTTGTGTGGCATAACATTAAAATCACAACATGAAATATACTCCCTTACCACAAAATATTAGATTGCACACTGGATTTACCGATATGTCATCTTTTTACATTTTTAAGACTAATGGAATTTATTATTTGAGTTATCTCAAAATAAGGAGCTAAATTAGAAATTTTCACTAATATAAAAAAGTGAATTTCTGCATTTTATTCATTTACAATATTGAAATGTGATCCTAAACAACTTATATATATATTCTTCTCTTTCATAATTATTTTATTAGACCAAGTAGCCATTCTGTATCATTGTCTCAGTCAACAACATTTACAGAAAAAACACCAAAGCTGTAAGTTCATAAATCAATATTAATCTATGTAATATCTGTTGTGTGTGTAATTTGCTTGGAAATTATTGCGGATAAAGTGTAGTTTACTCCACTATTAATCTACTAATTGTAGTCAGGATTCATTTTACATTTTTAATTACTTCAGTTTATGCATGAAATCTGCGGTTTATAAATGTGATGTGAAACAAAAGATCGAACATTTTGTCTTCAAATGTGTCTAGATTGTGAGATGTCTCCTTTGTCAGTGATGAATAAAATTCAGTCATTGTTCCATGCTTAAAGAGTTTATTCACACACTTGTCAGCTTACAAATCCATTAGTCTCATCCAAAAACAATTACTATCTAACTGAATATCAAAGTGTTATTAAAATACATTCTTGAGCAGTAAGATTTAGTAATCATATTGCTGAGCAGATTATGACAAAACAGGTTTCTGCTCAATGTTTAAAAATGTGGGTTGTTACGTTCCTCAAGATGCTTAGGTAGCAAATTGAGTTTGATTTCAAACAGCGTTGTTGAAATTTTTGTCTCATGCGTTCCTCAAATAATTTTGCATGAGTTTCTAGACAATCCTGTAAGGTGTCGTTTACCCCCCCCCCCCCATTTTAACATCTAATCGATTCGATATCTAATTTCTTAATCAACTTTAAATCGATGTTCATATATAATGATTTGCATATTTAAATAATATCCCTAACTTCTATTGCAGCGTAGTTCATAGCCTAATTTATGCCATCGCATCTATTTATTATATTAATTTGGGAGTTTTTCATTATTTCTATTTTTTCAATGGTGTCTATCTATCTAATTCATCTACATAAGCTTTAAGGACATGATACTATATAATATCAGTTCTAGTAACCACTTCTAATATAAACTTTCTTTTGTGCAGTCTTCTAACACTCCACCTAATCTGATGCTTCTTTACTTTTACAACCATATAAATAAGTGCGTTTTAAGTCCTAAACCCTATTTTTACATATCCTAAAAACCCTTTGTTTGTCGAATACGTATCAAAATTACTCCAAATTTGTCAATTTATATAGATCCTTTAAGCTTACAGTTTCCTCTCAACACACTGCAGCGCGAAAAAATAAAGAAAAATATCTAATGACTATTCTTATAAAGAATGTCTACCCACGCAACTTCACAAAAAGTATCAACCCAACTCATCAACAGAAACGGAATCCAAAAACGGATCATCATATATTCTATATGTAAAGGAAATATCAGAACTTACATCGCGATTAATAAATCCATTTGGAATAGATGTAGCACACAAATCAGCAAGGGTGTGCCTGAGAAGTTTATTAACATCCTAAAAGCCCTATATACAAACACCTCAAGTAGAGTGAGGGCATACAACCACCTCTCTCCATTGTTCCATTCGAGCAGTGGGGTTAGACAGGGTTGCCCAATCTCACCATTCCTCTTCAACTTTGCCATCGATGACACTCTGGAAATAGCTCTGATGGATGTAAGTAATGGCGGTGTGGATCTGTTGCATAGAGAAAGACTTTGGGACCTTGAGTATGCGGATGATATTGTCTTACTGTGCGATTAAACCCAAGTCATGTAATCTGCATTTAATCAGTTGGTAATAAGTGTCCATAGGTAAACTATGTGCTTCCCACCTTCGAAGTGGAAAGTACTTTTACAAAACTGACAGGACCCTAATCTTGAACTCACCTTGGGTAGTGAGCGGATAGAAGTAGTCGAGGAGTCCATGTATACGAATAGCTGCGTGGGTGTTGGTGGTGGCATGAGTGATGAGATGAATTCACGTATAGTGAAAGCTATTGCGGTTTATGCCAATCTGGTCCATCTTTGGCGCCTTCTTGAAGTTAGTTTAACTGCAGAAGGTCGAATCTACGTGTCAGTGAACAGTCTTGCTTTATGCATATGTTAGACGACTGTGTTTGATTGTCGTTGTCTCTGAAGGATTACTGACATCCAGTGACAGGCCGTTTTAGTAATAAAGAGGTTCGGCAACGCGTGTTCCGGTACATCGACGAAAATTCAAATAGTGTCATCATCTTGAAACATCGGCTTCGGTGGCTTGGACATGTCTTACGAATGTCGTCCCACAGGATTCCACACCGTACATTATTTGCCGACGCCGGGACCGGCTGGAAAGAGCGGAGAGATGGTCAGTGTATGATATGGTGTCGTGGTATGAAAGAAAGCTGTATAGGACTGGTTTTGGTTGATCCTTCACGACTCTGCTTGGTGTCCTAGAGATGATGCAACACAGTGGATTGAGACGTTATCAGGAATGGCTCAGAATAGAAGCCAGTGGCGATCCTGCTGTAACTGTTTTACTTTCTTCATAAAAAATGAACCTAACTTTAATTGAAAGACTTCTTTCTGGTTATATTTTTGCTAATTGAACTGTTTCTCCCACTGTTATTATTATTATTTCACTCTTATACACTAATTTCTGTTCGTTGTTGTTCTCTTACTATACACACTTTACATTCTCTATCTCTTCACAGCTTCATTGTTATTGTGTGACGCATGTGTTTGGTACCCCTTTGTACTAATGTTTGTGTTCAAATAAATATGTAGTCCACCTGTTAAAACTCTAACGATGTTCATCCTAACTATGGAACAAGAACAGAATGACATGTTCCTCATTCTTGATATTACAATAAGACGCAGGAGAGACGGGACAGTTCAACGTTCGCTTTATCAAGAAAACTACTTGGAATGACCTTTACCTGGATTTCAATAGTTTTTGTCCAATTATTTACAAGAAAGCACTGGTGAAAACAAGACGGAAGTGACCACAGTCAATAAAAAACCAATAATTATAAATTTCAACTTTAAAGGTGATGACGTCGCAAACACAATCAGCAGAAGGCTTAACACTGCATTAACCGGCAGCCAAACTATTAATTCTGTGTAAAACATGTTCAATAACCCAATCACAGGCCTACAAGCATTCTTTTCATGATACCGCCATTTGTTTGTAAATTTACGTGCACCTGCCAAAGCAGCTACATTGGACGAACAGAAAGGAGGGCTCATCTTGAATATTCTAAGCATGTTCCAAAGAACCTTCGAACAAGAGAAAGAACGACTTTAAGCAGTGCGATTACCAAACATCTTTTAGATACAGGATATTAGGTCGATACCTTGCAATCTTTCAAGGTGGTTAATAAACAACCAAACTCTAGTCTTCTTCAGTTTGTTGAAGCCGTTGCTATCAATCGTCAAAAACTTGACTTACGTGTTTAAAAGTAAATGGTTATTAATCTTTCCTTGCCTTGGTGACAAATATTTCTTCGTTGCATCTTAAACTTTTCTAACTCTTTCTTCCATTTATTACACCATTGAGTTTTAATGTAAACCATCTTCCAGATTAGTAATCTTATTTTATTAACTGAGCTTTACTCATTGTATTCCTACCAGCGTTTACTCATTATGTAATCACTTGTTTCTGGTCATTTGAGCTGTTGTCAAAATCAATGTTGTAGAACCTTTTACATGAGGTATATATTTACAATATTCAGCCTGCTCAATTTATTTACACCCTTGCTGTACTATACTAATATATCTTCAACATAACTTCCAACTAAACTCTTTCATGTAAGTAATTTAAACTCATCTTGTAATTTTGGTTTTAAATATCATAGATTGTAAGCAGCTGATAAGAACCAAACCAAATAAAATAAATTCATGCTACTTTCCTAGAATCTTTGCTTTTGCTCTCTTCAAAATGATAAGAGAACTGTGAATGAAATTTAAAAGGTTAGTATTAGTGGTCTTTAGTAGACCTATGTTTACCAATGACCTAAAGTATAAGTTAATTTATCTCACCGCTTTAATGTGCATTTATCAGCTTACCTGTTCCTATGACGCTAAGAATATCGGTCATTTGATACTCGTTTTGTCTAAGTGGATCCAAGAACATTATTCTTGGTTAAGATATTTCAGTAGTCGATACATATGAAGATCCATTATCGTACACCTTGTTAATATCAAATATCTATACAAAGTAAACGAAAATTAAATTTCGTCTTCTGTCGTTGTTACTTCAGTTTCACTAGTGCCCTGGTACCGGGTACATGACCTTGTATTTAGCAAATAAGTTACCTTAAAAACTTACGAAAAACACCAATCAGTCTTGTTTATTGGTTTTGATTATCTTTTAATCTATATACCATATTATCAGCTGAAAATCTTGACGGTTCATAGATCTACAATCAAGTTTGTAGTCTGTTCTTATTTTCCATATAATACACTTAGAATTTCGTGAAATATTTTCAAATTTTTGAATGTAATTTTGTAGTTTTTCTGTTTGTTTTCTTCCTTCTATTCAGTGTTATTCGCCTCGGGAATGGTTCTATTGCAGCATCTCAGCCACAGACTATTGCAACTACACATCCTCAGTCGGTTAGTCAAAATCTGACAAATTATTCAGAAAATCCCACTTCAGTTGTTGACAAGAAGCATTCAAGTTCTTTAATAACCCCACCACCTCCTTTACAATTGACTATCTCTCGCGACAGACTAAAATATAGAGGCCGCACTGCTTCACAAGGTAGCGATTCAAATGCATCAAATACGAGTTCAACAATTACAGGAAGTCTTTCAAGTAGTGAAGAAGAAGTAATTGTTCATCCTCACATTAGTCCTACGGGATCTGCGAGTTTGCCACCGCCTCCTTCTCTGGAACGCTTGCCACCTCGACCAGGTCATGGTGGTTTCCTAACGACTAAACCTACCACTCAAAGACATTTAGTTCATCATTCTCAGTTGCCACCTCCATCCCTAACAAACAGTATAAAGAAATCAGACAATATTTTGCCTTTGAAGCACATAGTTTCACCAGGCACAATTATGTCAAATGGTCCTAATCCTACCGCTACTCATTGTCACCTTCCACCTCTTCTTCCACTATTTTCGTCGGTTTCGGAACAAAAGGAGTCTATCTCACTATCATCTAAGTCAAGTCCAGTTTCAACAGAACAGTCTTTACATTGTGACAATTCAAAATCAAGTAAGCCTTATTGATGTTGTATTTACATACACTAGAAGTATTTTGTTGTGCTAAAGATACACTCATATGAAAAATTACATCGTTTGTCATTTGACACTTTAAAGTGTCAGTGGAGAAAGATTAAGAAGTCAGAGATTGCCACTGACTCATGGAAATCCTCATGTTATTTGATAAGAGATATTTGTTAGCGGAAGACTATGATGCGTGATACAAAAATTATCTTAGGTTTATTAATTGTTCTCATGGTTATTGTTTGTTATGTTACTTTCTATTTTAAATTCGTCTACGCTTAATTCCACAAACTCAGCTGATATGTATAATAACGTTCAATATTTCACATTGAGTTACCCCATTCCTAAACTGCCAGTCAGAACGGTTGAAAGACCAACTAAATGCATTATATTACTCTATATTATTCAGGCTCTAAAATCCACGCGATTCTATACATAAACTGCATAGTACCTTAAATAAAAAATTCAGTATATCCATAGCTAGGGGCATATTGTGGTTTAAATTTACGTAGTGATTTAATAATCAATTCTTGTTTATCGTTGCAGTGCTTTTAGAGATAACACTTTCCTCATCTACATTGCCAGGGGTTGAACTTCTACCAGGAGATTCACTGGTTGACTTAGAATATGCCGACGACAGTTCTATTTGGTGAAGATGCTGACAAAATGCAGAGTCTTCTTACCACCGTAAACAACAATGCAAGCATGTTCGGGATGCGATTCTCCCCCTCGAAATGCAAAATGTTGCTTCAGGATTGGGTTGCATCGACACCCGAACTAGTGATAGAGAGTGAAGTAGTTGAGCGTGTCGACCGCTTCACTTATCTTGGGAGTCTCATCAGCCTTTGTGGTCTGGTGTGTGACGAAATCTCAGCACGGATACAGAAGGCTCGATTAGCTTTTGCCAACTTGCGTCATTTATGGAGTAGGGGAGATATCTATCGACCTACCAAAGGAGGACGTGTTTACTGCGCAGCAGTTCGTTCCGTCCTACTTTATGGCAGTGAAACATGGCCGGTAGGAGTAGAGGATATTCGTAGGTTACTAGTATTTGATCATAGGTGTCTCCGATGCATTGCTCGTATATCCTGGGACCATCGAGTAAGTAACGCAGTTGTTAGGAAACGGGTACTAGGTAAGGATGGCAAATCAATTGATGGAGTAGTGAAACTTCATCAGTTGAGATGTCTGAGACACGTGTTACGTGTACCCAAACACTGGCTTCCCGACGAGTGATGTTTTATGGTGTAAGAGTAGGTTGGAAGAAAGCAGACGTTTAGGCCAAGACATGGCACAAGTCCATGAAGTCACTGACAAGTGGACTGAGCCATGTTGGTAGGTGTAGACTACCTGTTTGGGATCCGCGAGATGATAGCAACCAATGGTTAGAGACTCTGAATGACATGACTCAAAATCGTTTGCAATGGAGCAGGTGTATCCACTCTTTTTGTTCTCCCAAATTCTAATCTTCTGAATTCTTCATGTCACTTTTTTTCTCTTTCCAAATTTATTTCACTGTAATATACTCCTTGAATAACATCTTAATGCTTAGAAGTAAGATATATCAATCACTGGCCCATTACTTTTTCACTAAATGATTGTGTGAATAAACCATCTATATTTAACGGCATGCTTAACAAAGTATGGAATTTTCTGTTGTAACCATACAAATATTCCAAACATTTTATTGCTTCGAATTTTTCGTCAATGTAGTTGGAAGTGTAAAGTATAGTCTTTGAGTGGCCATTTAGTTTCGTCTTATATTTTTTCGTTAGCTTCACGTCTCGGTGACAGAAAAAAAAGAAGACTCACTGATCAGGATTCTCGTTTACCTCCAGGCAAGCGAAGAACATTGATCCAGTCTTATGCAGTTCATTCACCAGAAACTGAATCAGTTATTAAGAGACCACGTGCTACAGTCGATTCCGTCTTTACAGATGATGACAGTGATACTAAAAACGAAGAAAAATCCCCTCTGTTGTCACTTACAGCTTCATGTTCAAATGACTCAGTTAATAACCAGAAATCCCTTCGTCCATCTAACAGCGAAAATATGTATATATCTAATCCTCCTGCCAATTCTTTAGCTCCCTCTCTTAATTCTACTGTATCTCCTTTGAAAACTCAACCACGAACAAAACATACTGGTTTGTATAACAAGAAGTCTTTATATCGTCCTGTCACCAAGTTATCATCTCATACCAGTAGTACAAAAAGTTCTGCATCACTTAAAAGTGGGAAAGTTCGTGGCCGATCCAAACTCATACCTGCTTCGCCAATCAAAACCCCATCAAGTAATAACATCTCTTCCAAAATGGTTCACCGTGAATCTGCTTCACAAATCGTTGTTGAATCTGCTGGCAGCTCATATTATTTTGTAAGTAAAGAGAATGGTTATTCAACACTTCACCCTCATTTTACTTAAAATGTTGTAACATTATTCTGATATTCATGCATTTTTATTGGTCACTTAGCGATTTCCAACATAGAAACACTAAAAGAGAATATTTCCCAATATAATTTTGTGTAAATCGTTGTAGTCTTTGTAGATTACGTGCTTGTGGTCAAGTTAAAAGCTTTTAATTCTTAGTAGAGCATCCGTGAATTATCCATGGTGCACTAATCACCTCGTTAACTTGACTGAATAACCATCTCATATATATATATATATATATATATATATATATATTGATGGATCCTGAAATTAAGTGTCTGCTAGTTAGGAGAATATACTTTTTCATCATAGATCATAGTTTCCTATATTGTTACTGTCTAATTGTTACTCACTTATTTGAGTACCAACCTAGCAACCAATAAACCTACAATTTGTAACTCAGTAGTATCTACAAATCTTATTTAACAATTTTTCCTCAAGACTTGTTACAGTGACCTGAAATTTATTCCTGAGTTGTGTATACTTGACTTATATCAATAACATTTGTTGTGCTCTTTGAATTAGTGCCAGTTAGATATCATGAACCCAGAATTTTAGTAGTAAGAATTTCCTAAATCATTAACCGCAGTTTGTGGTAGGAACTGAAACAAATTTACTACTGGGTACCATTCTGTCATTTTCTAAAGCTTGACAGCAATTTTTGTAATGTCTTTCTAAACGGATCTTTGTAAAGGTGGTGTTTGTTTGCAGTGAATTATCCTATGCATCTTTATTCATTTTTATTGTTTTGCGTAATTAATCGTAGAATAATGATGGTGAGCAAATATGGTTATGTCCTATTTGTTTACTGGAAGATGATGGCAATTTGATGATTGGCTGTGATAATTGTCAAGATTGGTATCATAGGTAAGTTAAATTATATAGTCATAATGATTATCTGTCATTGAATAGTGAAGATTTCCACTCTTTTGGTTATAATGAGTAACAGGGCTACCATACCCATTATTTATACAGCGTTCACACTTTTACAGTTTTCTGTCGAAGGAGTTCCTAAAAACTCAGGAAATTCAATAGTTGGTTTTCAGATATTTCTCAGTTTCCTTTTGTGATTACCAATGTTTATTTGTTAAATTCGACCTTTAATTTCAGAGTGATACAGTTTCTATATTATAAGTTTTCGGAACGACGGTTAGAATAGCTCACTGATGGTATTTCTATGTAAGAATCTTTAGGATTGCTTGAGAAGAGGTGAAATATGTATAAATTTGTATAAATCCACTTTTTACTCATATTAACTTGTTTAGTCTGAGATTACTGCAGATAATGTGGATCATGTCATGGAGATATACTCAGAACATAAACAATTTTTCTAGAATGAACTTTGGTCTGGTGATTACGTATATTCTACATTGTCTCTCTCGCTATTTAACCTCGATAATCTGATTGATTACATGGAAAATATTTACTGACATGATCGATATAAACTGAACTCGTGCTCTTTTATTTACTTGCCTACATTTGACTACGTTCTCGCTTTATGTTCACCTGAACTGGCCTTTATTAATAAGCAATTTTTTCATCTTCAAACAATTCTAGTTTTACAACTAGTATTCAACTTGATGGGAAGGACAGACGATAATCTGCTCTTCTCCACTTACATGGCACCATGAATACAGTTTAAATTTGCTCATGACTTCGCTAAACAATAAGGGCTATTTCGCAACGTTTCTGTGTTCGTGATTTTCCTATAACCGAAAAGCTCACTAATGCGTGGAAAAACCTTATAATTTAAGTTAATTCCGTGAGTCATCATATCATGAAAGCTCTGTAAGTCATATTAAGTGATAGAGTTGTTAGACAAAACACTGAATCTCATCGTGACTCGTCCACTGCGCTACCTAGTTGGACAAAGTCAAATAACTCAACCAAATTAAGTTTCTGAAAAGATTTTAAGTAATAGGACCCCACTAAAGGATACTATGTGTGTGCAACTTTCCAGTCAAATTGGATTGTTTAAAATTATACAACACTAGGAGCTGCTATGATACCAGCATTCAAAACACTACTAATTCTTCTACCTATAATATCTGGAATATAAGCTGTGTATCATAATATTCCAAAATATTTGAGTCCTATAAATAACTAACAAAGAATTAGATTTTTTCATCGGCATGCCTTTTATTTGTCAAAAAAAAAGTATTTTTAACGTACTAAATTTGGTCAACTGTTTTCCTCATTTTCATTCGAACCTTTCAAGTCATCATTTTTATTTACTGTTTTTTTTTCTCTTAAAGCACGTGTTTAGGGCTTTCCAAGGCTCCTGAAGTTCCCCAATGGTTTTGTCCAAAGTGTTCACAAAAACCATTACCACCAAATACACTTATAAAATTGTCAAGTAAAGATTCTGTTTCTCATCTTACAAAAGGCAGCTCACGTGGTTCTGTAACCTCTCACCCGAAAGTTAAACACTCTAAACGTGAATCAGGGTCTAGAAATCCTAAACACAAACCCAAACGATAATCATAATATTTTGAACAATCATCTCAACCACTAGCTGCCTTTTATCTATTTTTGCTCTTTGTACATAGTTGTATATTGTATCCAGATAAAAAATTATTAATTTTGCTGATTTTTACTGTTGGACTTGTAATTAATTAAAATTTCATCAAAACTAAATCACTTTTGGATTACTATGCACTGTTTTCTAAAATGTTAATAAAAATCCAATATCTGAAGTAAGTGATGGTTTATTGTATAGAAAATTGTAAGTTGTAGATCACTAGTTGTGCTGTGTTGAAATGAATCTGAGATTTTCTAAATCCTATTGTAATCGGTAAAGTACGTGCTATATCTTACTTCATAAAGCTTATTTCTTTTTGTTTAATATTATAGAATTTTATACATTATATACGAACGTTTATACTTGTGTGTGATCCGTTTTATACCCGTGGTACCATATTCGTAAAGCTTTCGTTGTGCATACCTCTGTTTGGTGACAGGTCATACATGATTGCTTATAGGATTTCCAACCTCACTGAGAACTGGGATACTTGTTATTCAGGTGGCTTGGAGATAGTGATTAATTGAAGTGTGACTGAGGGTCAGTTGGACTGTTCCCTTGAGTGTTCTGCCCATCGGCCGGGTCTCTTGAATCGGAGGTGGATAATGGTCCTTTTTTGTGGGATAGTCTCACTAACAGTTGGATGTGTAATACTTGTTTCCTTGATAAGTTTGAATAGTTGTCTACTATTGCTTGTCGCCGTTGCCTTTTCTATCATTTTTGACTATTCTACCCACCACTACTCATGATCATTGGGAAGACTTTATTAACTTACTTTCAGATTACCTCCAACCCTTATGGTATTTAGAGCTAGGCGAGCTGAGTAGTAGTTATCACTACTGTTTCCACAGATGTTCAGATAATATCCTATTCTCCTTCGATATGTATTTTGTATTCATGTTATTTTAACTGCTTCTCTGGTTGCTCCGAAAATATTTTCTAGACTTTTATTATAACATTGAACTGTTACAATATATCTTGCCGTGTCTTTTTATTATCCTATAAGACGCATATTAACGATGACTGCATACTCTTCCATTCTTGATTTCGTAGTCTACGTTGCAATAATGTATTGGTAGGGGTAATTTTTAAAAACGTTTTACATTTTAACCTCATTAGTTTTACTGGACACACTACTAACTGAAAGAGAATGGGCGAACATGCAAAGTGGATCAAGTACCAACAGGCTCTATAGTGCAGCTCTTCCGTTAACTAGCCATTTAAAAGTTAAGCACTCGAATACATTTGTCCTTAATAAAAATATGTTTCGTCATACTTTTCCTTAAATTTCGTATCTGTTTCCTTTAGTGCTGGATGCCTATTCATAGTTTTTGTGACATCTATCGTATACTAGGTTTTCTCAAATAGACTTATTACATTGGTCTGAAATAGCATGCATTTTTCACCTACAATGGTTCATCAAATATATGTGCATTATGATGTGTTTTCTTGGGTCAATGTCTTTATTTATTCGTCTCTGTTACTGTCAGTTGAAGCAAAGGGTTGATATTCGGCTGTAGCATGAATATTTTTATCGTGCTAGGCATAGATTTGGAAAACACTTCATATTTCCGTGATAGCAATCGATTAGCATTTCAAAGACCGTTGACTTGTCAGAGATATTCTTTAATTAACCAAAACTTCGCAATACTCAAAACCTCGACAGTAAGATGCTCTTCTATTACTCAGTAGAAAGTCAACATAACTCTATAGGCCCAACTGATACGAGCTTCAGTCTAAGTGTTTTGTGCTCGTAAATAATTATTCATGAAATTTTAACCTTGATATATTGGTTCCAGAGTAGCACACCCACCTGTTTTACTTATGTTATCCAGTCGGACACCTAAACATCTAACCTAATCTGTATAGGCATATTTTTATCAAGCATTTCGACTAATTTATTTAACCGTCAGTGTCATTTAGTCTGTAACAATTAGTTTATATATTTGTATAACCATAATCATGTTTTTATGAGCATATATGCCTGACCATATGTAAAAGCCGAAATCTCTGGGTGACTCATTCGTTTCCTTATATACCTGCTTCTTAAATCAATTCATTGATCCACATACACACTCGCATTTTTGTTTATCCAGGTTTAAATTTAGCAAACCCTTTAAGTATTTTATTTAACAGTTTCATTTTTGTCGCTAAAAATCCTTTATTATCTCTATGCTTCTATAACTATGGGCGCGTGGTCACGTTTTTCAACCTACACGTATTTCCCATACAGTTTTAAATCTCGGTTGCTTAAACTGTTCGACGACTCATTCTCTTTCCCATGTAATTGTACTTCCCAAATCCTGTTACTTTATTCCCACGTTCGTGTTCCTGCTCATTTGTATGTCTGTTCGTGTAGGCTTCGCGTGCTTGCGGCTCTGTGACCTGCTCTGTACAGTAATAAACTATAGTTGCCGCTTCATATTGTCTTCTTACGTTTATACATCCTAAAGACTTATCTAATAACGGTTATAAGGACGAGTGATTTACAAAACATTTATTATTTTAAAGTACTTCAACTGTATACCGTTGAATGAGACTGTGAACTGTATGCTAACAATTTAGTTTGTTAAGAGATGTTTGATTATCTTATATTCATTGCATTTTTGTGGCCTGCTGCTAACTTCAGTTGAGACATGACGACGATGGACGGAATACAGAGCCTCAATGATTTTTCTTCTTAACTGATTTTATCAGTGTTAACACTAAATGATTTGCCAAATATTAAAAGGTTTCTGAAGCACGTACATGATAACCGTTCAAGCTGCGAGTGAATACATGAATGTGTACTAATCTTCGTCTGTCCAGAAGTTGGAATAGGTTCACATAGGAATGTAATAAGGAATATCAGGAAAACCAATTTCTGGAGCTGACAAGCATTCACAAATCTTCTGTTGAATCTATTTGACTTTAAAGTTTGGAAATGTATGACCGCTATCTGCAGCTATCCGTCCAGTGTGACGGATTCATTGTATTATGTAATGTGAACAATAAAGCCCTCAGCGAAGATTTTGCGTTATATATGTGACAAATACTTGGTGTTTGCTGGGAATAAACATTGGTTACCTCGTGTAATTTTTGGTGTACAGTTAAGTTACTTATTCTTTCATTAGCCTAGCTATTTCAATTCGAAAAGTATGGAGTATAAGAACATATTCTGTTGATAGAAGTTTATTATCGCGAGTAACATTTTAAGTAGGTAATAATGTTCCCAATGATTTGTAGACCATATTCATTGCAAAAAACTAGGACAAATATTGTACGATTGGATCGCCCAATGCCTGCATGATGTATCCCCAGGCAGTGCTTCAGGGGTATCGTTCACTGGTGGAGGTTGCTTAGCACTTGAATGTCGGACCGTCGCAAAACGATTACTGCGTCACCTAGACAATTCGCGAGGTTTTGCGGAAGCGATCAAATGAAGACATTTTTAGATTTGAATTGACTCCAGCCACACTATCCTATAACGTCCATCTTTCAATTAACGAAATTAATGATGTATGACGACGAATCCTCAGTAGTACTATGTTGTCACTAGGAGTTACAAGTTTGGACAATTTCGAGACCTGTTAGTAAGAAGTATATAAGGTAATAGGAATTCTGTGGTTGATAACTATTTTTACATTATAGACCCAATAGTCATGTAATGTCAGAATGTAAAAAGAACAATGATGACCCAACTCCAAAGCATTTTTTCGTCAGATACGTCTGTAATTGTGGATGTAAACACAGTTTGTCAGAGTCAGGTGCTTGTCTTCAAGATGAAGATGATAATAGTGATCAGCACTCTTCCGGAGAACATACAACTTCTAGCTCATCACCATAACCTAAACAAGGAAAACGACGTCGGTCACCTACGTGTACGTATCCGCATATACGCTATATTTCAAATGAATTCATCCTTCAGGTCGAAATATTGCCACGTTCAATCCGGATTTGCGGTTCGTTCAGTATATGGTGAGCTAAAAGTCACCTCTATTAAAACCGTGCACAACCATCTATGCACAGAAGGATATGTCCCTGTAGATCCTTGAATACGACGGCTGACGTCAAGTAAACGGTTATGACTGTTTCTATTCAGTAGTACGCCCACTCGTAGTTTACGATTTCTATTTTCTTGGAAGGACTATTGTAGCAGTAAGTGAATGGTGAACTTCCAAGGACTTGGCATTACATTGTACCGCAAAATGGAAAGACCCTTTTTCACTTGGTTTTGAAATCAGAAAATAAAGTTTGCGAATTTATTTGTAGTTAATTTAGGCTTTTAGCTGTGCACAAAGCGGAAATAAAAAAGTATCGCAAGATGTGTCGTAATACCACAGTGTCGTCACCGTGTTGGCATTTGAAATTGCATTCTCAGACTGACCTTCATTTACTTGCCGTATTTATTTTGAATGACAATAAAAAGTAATTTCAGGATGGAACGTAATATCATATGCTTCGAGGAACCGATGTTTATTCAGCTTACTCTTGTTGATTTCTGCACCTTATGAACAGTGTTACCCCTTATTTAGTGTCAAATATTCGTGATCTACTTTAGGGTTTATGACCCATTTGTCAGCTGAATATACCTACCATTTATAATCTAGGTAAGTGGCTTGAACTCACAGTTTTACAATAATATTTAAAATTAGAATTGCTGCAAATAAATGTTCCTTCACAGAAAAGCGTATAAGTTGTGTAAAATAGGTATGTAGTTGGAAAATTGACTCCTCTAGTGCAGCATGTTGTTAAAAGTCTCCCTGTTTTCCCAGAGCTAGTGGTTAAATAGTACTCCTTAGGTAGGGGTGATCATAAATACTTTTAGATGGCGGATACGAAGGAAATTGTAGTTTATAGTTTCAAAACGATCTGCAAAAATACGATTATTCTAGAACATCGCAGTAGTCAATAAACGCTTTACAGTGCATTACTCTTAAGAATTGTCGCCATCAACTCGCACTTTGATTCAACAATTAATGAAACTCGTCACCTGAACACGTGAATATATGTCCAACCACCGATACGAGGAAAGCAAAGTTTGAGATGGACCACCATTGCAAATATTGTGATTTGAAACTGATGCCCTATATCAAATTCATGTTCAGATGAGACTGCTTGGTATCGATGCTTACCAAAACGCATAGCGAATAATTGCGGTAACCTGGAGTATATATTTAGAGCAATGTACGAATGGAAGACAACTAAATTTAATATTTATTGTATGAACGTTTCTTTATCCCCAACATTTAAATATAAGCGTGTCGATTGCTATCAGTCACTTGTTTTTATAAACATCATGAAATCAACGAAGCGCTTGGATACACGTACCCTTATTGCTATATTGCTTGTCAATTAACATACCCTCCTTAATAATCTACTTTACGTGGAACGTCTTTACCTACGTACGGAAAGCAATACCGGTCTACGTTCCCTCATCAATTCTCTTTTATGTCTGTGTCCATACAAACAAAATCGGATGACCACTACAGAAGTTATCACTTACCATTAACCGAGACAACGAATACCCACATAGTAAAAGTTATCAATTCAATTCTTGCTGTTGGTATTGTGAGTAGAATCTATAATGACAGCTTCCGTTTATTGTTTATCTCAGGTGATTCGGTGATAGTTACCAAAGACAACTATAATTTATGGACGACTTTTAAGCGACTCTAAACTGATCTTAAGAATGTCTGCCAACCTGTATGAGGAACGAAGATTATGGTTTACAGTTGATGGTTAGGGTTGAAAACTAGATTTTGGGTATTCATCACGAACCGACATGGAGTAAAACTCCAAAATGCTATCCATAATTACTTCCTTACGCCTGTCACTCTGAATGGAGCATAGGCCACCAACCAAAATTCTCCGACCCATTCCGTCCTAAGCCTTCCTTTCCAGTTCCATCCAATTCTTGTTCACTCTTCTTATGTCTGTCTCCTTTTCTCGTCGTAATCTTTTCTTTGGCATCCCTTGTGGCAAGCCCATTTGGCTACTGTATCATTTATCTAGTCATTGTAACTCAGACTCAATTCACTATGTTAATTTCGGTGTGTATGATCGAATGTATGTCTGTACATTAACTCTTAAGCTATCTTCCTATTGGTTTCAATGTGCAGATAATCGATAATCTATCCACACCCGATTAACTCTCAAATATATATGGATTTTTAACAGACTCACTCACTCTGTTTCATCGTGTGCTTGCTCACCGTACGCTTGTGGATTATTATTATTCATTAACAATAAACTATCTCTATAACTGGTGTTCAGGCTTTTTAATAATCTCGAGTAAATTCGCAATTCTACTAGGAGATTGAGCCTACCTAAAATACTCAGTTACTGGATATTATTATTTGGAGTCAGATATTGAGGACATTATCTTCAACATATTGGTGAACTGCTTTTAGAACACACACCATTCCTCTACGAATTCTGCTGCATACTCTCCAAGCGTATCTTAAAGTGCTTCACATTGGAATTACTATTACAATTATTAACAATTCACTAACAGTCATAATAAATCCATCCATAACATTGTTCCTTTGGAATTATTGCTGTATATTCGCATATTTAAACCAAAAGTGACAGTTTTTCTTTTTGGTGAGTCTTATATATATTTATTGTTGTTATTTTTGATTTCTCTTCATATTGTATATCACAATCCTCGGCTTATTATTACTATTGCTTCTTCGTATCATGGCACTTGATAATTCGCTAAGCCTTTCATCTAAATCTATTTCCGTGGGTGCCATCTCTGTACCTTTACCTACTTTTAATCCACGAAAGGCTGAACTCTGGTTTGCTCGCTTAGAAAGCTTTTTTGTAGCAAACAAAATCACAAACCAGAGTACGAAATTTAGTTATGCAAATTCACTACTGCCAGATGACGTCATTGAACAAGTGCCGGATGTCATTTTTAAGCCGGATCCTGACTCACCATTCGATTGTCTAAAAAGAGAGGTCAATCGTGTCACATCTCTCACCGACCAACAGACAATTGATCAACTTTTAGCCAACGTAGAGCTAGGTGACAATATACCGTTACAGTTAAAACGCCACATGACAAACTTATTAGGAAATCGTACAGTAGACAAACGTCTACTATATCAATTGTGCCTCAGACGTCTCCCTCAAAACATTCAACAGATACTAGCAATTGGAGACGAAGACGTTGATTTTGATAGACTAGCAGACATAGCCGACAGAATTTACGAACGGTCCAAGACTCACCTTGTATCTCAAATCCAATCAAGCTCAGCTGACGAGATCGCCGAGTTACGACGATCAGTTGATACCCTTACGAAACAGATAGCTCACATCCAATTATTGAATGCCTCCCACAGCAAGCGTAGAGGAACATCCACAAGCCGTAGACGACGTAGTCCAAGCACTACTAGACACAACATTTGTTGGTACCATAGAACATATGGCAA